GAAAATATATACATAGTTATTGGGTCTCAATATGTTAGCTCCTGTGATGGAATGGACTTATGAAGGCCAGGCTCAGGGAGATAAGCACGTTCTTAGCCCCCAGCAGGAGCATGGGAAGTTCAAGAAGATGAGGCTGGCACCTCCCTAAGGAATTCACGGTATTGTGGCTGCCTGGCATGGGAACTAGGGTTCAGTCTGGGGAGATTTTCTGTCTGGAGGTTGTAGCTAATAAACGCAACAGAACTGTATCTGCATTGTCTCCTGGAGTTCTTTGGGCTGAACCTGACAGCTCCCAACTATAACCATATGTGACTAAAGGTGGTGATTTCTGAATTATTTCTAGTCAACCTTGATGATCTTCAGTGGTTTCCCAAAGGCTCGTCAATGTGAAAATCAGTAACAGCAACCAAAATTCATTACTTGTATTATTTCATCTTGTCTCTTCCCAGCACCTTTTTTTACAACATGCACCACACTGGGTGCTTTTTGAAAACATATTCGCACAGGGAGCAACAATGAGGTACAAAGGAGGAGGCTGATCAGCCATATGAATTGAATATGACTTCTACATAAGTGCAAATTATCTATCTTTTTTTTTCCTGGAACCATATAGTCCACCATCCAGAGCCATATGCATAATGAAATGAAATAGAATAACAGCATAAACAAACCTGGCCTAAAATTGTTCAAGTTATGTACAAGGGAAAAAGATATGGCACAACAAGAAGCAGGTAATGGAATAAATTATTTTACAGGGTTACCAAAACACTTCTATAAGTAAAAATACAAAATAAAAATATTTTATTTTTTACCTGAAGAACATTTTCTGATAAAAAGTTTTGTCTGCAAAATGTGTAACTTGCTTGAGAGCTCTCTTTTGAAGAACGGCACCACCCCTAAATTTAAAATATCACATTACTATTTAATCCAAAAAATACAAAAGGATATCAAGATGTTCTACAAAGTGAATTTCTTATCTCTTACCTTATATGCTTGGAGGACAGCCAGATAATCACTGTTTCCTATGGAAAATTCCAGCTTTTTCTTGAATGCCTCCTCTTTTTTGTCCCATGGAGAAATCTTTATAATTGATAAAAATGCTCCATTACACAGCTAATATATCTAAAATTAAAATTCAGTCTGAGTTGTATAGAATTTATCTAAATCCTATGCATAAATAGGAATGAATTACAGTAGAACTTCTCAAAATTGGTGGTGTTAAGACCCTGTAAAATAATACATTAATTGACTGCCCCCATTAATAAAACTGTCAGGCTACACTTGACCTTAGCCAAAGGCCAAGAAGCACTACCCTCTGCAGTCCTGTGGGAAATTATAAAAACACCCCTCTTCAGCAGCACATGCCCATGTGGGGATGGCTCTGTGGAGTCCATAAGCCACATGCTTATGTTGCTCTCTTTACAGGGAATCTCAGAAGACATTCATCTACAGGTAGTCCTTGGGTAACGACAACTTGTTCAGTGACTGCTCAAAGTTCTGATGGCATTGAACAAGTGGTACTTATGACCAGTTCTTGAAGTTCTGGCTGTCACACCATCCCTACAGTCATGAGATTGTCATCTGGATGCTTGGCAACCAGCTCACATTTATGACTGTTGCAGCATCCCACAGTCATGAGATTTGCCATTTGCAACCTTCCCTGCCAGCTTCCTGCAAGCAAAGTCAATGGGGAAGCTGGCAGGAAAGGGTGCAAGTCATTCCTGCTGCTTTTTCTCCCGAGGAGCCTGCTACAGAATATGAGATCCTAGTGATCTTGTACTCTGTAGCATGCGTAGTGCCCCCTCCCAGCCCACACGTAGTCATGCGATGTCACAGCAACCCCTCCCCAGCCCACACACACTCGTGTGATGCCACAGCACACCCTCCCCAGCCTGCACACACTCATCGCAGCACCTCTCTCCACTCCTAGTACTCACTCAGCCCCTGGCCTGCTTGAGAGCCACCTGGGACTTGCAACCCAGATAGCTTCCCCATTGACTTTGCTTGTGAGAAGCCGGCAGGAAGTTGCAAGTCACAGTCACATGAGGTCCTTGCTTAATGACCTGCAATTTTCACTTAATGACAGCAATGGGAATTGCCAGGATTGCTGTGCTAAATGATGCGGTCATGTTACATTGCGCTTTACAACCGCATCACTTAGTGATGGAAATTCTGGTCCCAACTACTGTTATTAAGTGAGGACTACCTGTATAAAGATTAAAATTTAAAGAACCACCCTGGCAGAGAGCACCATGCTTATCTGTCACTTCTTCTATCTGACCAGGACTGTCATGTATCTTTTCAGGTTGCTCAATTTTGTGCCTCTATTTGTTCTATTTGTCCCACCTATAACTAAAGACCACCGTTAATACTGGTGATCGTCACTGATATTTGTATTATTGTTATACTAATTTCATTATGTAATTTTAATGTATGTTATACCAACTTTTTAGTCTTATCAATAATTTTAACTGTTTGTATATCTATTTAGTGTTTTCTGGCAGAGTTTTCTGGCCTAAAGATGGTAATAAAGATTTGTTGTTATTGTCAGGCTGCATTTTGACAAGGCTTCCCAAATAAACAGGCAGCCCAAGCACGGCACCTTTTCTACTTCTTGCAGGAGAACACAATCCATCATGACAGAAGGCAAGCATGGGCTGTCCAGACAGGTGCACAGGCTCAGTGCCAGGACCCAGTGTGATGCCTCCCAAAAACACACCCAGAAAGAGCCACCCATGGAAGAAGGGGAAGGTGAGACTAGGCAAGAACACCTCAATCTTAGCTAAGCTGGTGCTTAGGAGCAGGTTGAGTCTATTGCAGGAGCTGCTATGAGTGCAAAGACTATTGAAGGACAGTTCTACATCCAATACTAGGGGCTCAGTGAAGGCTGCCCATGTCCAGATAAAGCGGGACCAAGTATGGCCCTCTCACTTGAAACTGCCACAAACCACAGTTTGGGAACCCTAGATTATCATAATAATACTTACAAAAGGTGACTTGTGAGCCCTGCTTGCTGCTATTGTTAGTGCAGGATCCAGACAGCGAAAGATGGTGCCAAGGAGCATTAATTTCCCAACCCTCACATCAACAGGCAAGGAAGCCAAATGATGCCCCAAGGGAGTAAGGTTTTCATCTGATGTTAAGGCTCCTACATCCTGCAACCGCATCTTTGATGCATTTATAGATTCAGCTGTCGGTGGCTCAATAAGTTGTGATAACACTAAATGAAATCCATGTGTGGAGAACATTTCCAAAATCTTTATTCTGGAAAAAAAAAATGTTCAGTCAAAGCAAATTACCAGCACCCCAGTCTGCTATTTGGTGCATGCAAGGAAGTACAGAATTATAGAGAGTGAGAAAATGGCATTGACAGATATATGCTAGATCTGCCAGTGCAATGGTGTGTGTATGTGTGAAACATCTTTTACATCCACAACAGACAGGTAATACTCGGAAGTGGCTCAGACACCTCTTTAATTCATTGAACTATAAAAAGGAGGAGGAGATACAGCACAATCAGACTTGCAAGATTCTGTCATTATAGCTAATCTCAATAAAAGTAGTCTTAGCCTTCCTTTGGAGTTGATTTCTTGTTCTGGTCTACCCAGTGAGGTTGACAAGAATCTAGCATACAATTCCTCCATTAATTTTGAATGTTCTTACTTTGTTCAAGATACAAAAAGTACTTTATGCTGGTCTAGGACCGAAATAAAATTGATTGATTGATTGATTGACAAAAAATACTTATTTCTGATTGCTTCTTGTATTTGGGGCAATTTTTTTCCATTTCCCAATGTTCCAGAATCTAACCCCACCCCCATAGGCTTAAAATCTTATTACCTGTGACTTCATTATCCATGGTTGAATGCTGAAACATGACCTTCACAAATACAGGTAGTCCTTGCTTAACGACCATTCATTTAGTGACCGTTTGAATTTACAAGGGTGCTGAATGAAGGGACTTACAACCCGTTCCTGAAGTTAAAACCGTTGCAGTGCCCCTGTGGTCATGTGATTGCGATCTGGGCCCTTGGCAATCAGTTCACACTTACGACTGGTTGCCAAGTTCCCTGCAATTCTGTGATCGCCATCTGCAATCTTCCCTACTGGCTTCTCCAGAAACTCAATGGGGAAGTTGACAGAGAAGGTTGTAAGCTGCTGCTGTGTGCCAAGAGGACTCCTTCTCGACTCTGGAGGCTGGCTGAAAAAGCTCTGTGCCAAAATCTCTGGAGACTGGCTGAAAAAGCTCCAAGCTGAAATCCAAGCAAGATTTTGGCATGGAGCTTTTTAAGCCAGCCCCCAGAGAGAAGAGGGAGTCCTCTCGACTCTGGGGCTGGCTGAAAACACCCATGTCAAAATCCAAGCAGGATTTTCAGCCATGGAGGATTTTCAGCTCCAGAGTGGAGAGGTTTCAGAAACCTCTCGATTCTGGAGCTGAAAATCCAAGTGGTCTGGAGGCCCTTGTGCACCCGACCCATACCGCACCCCCGCATACCCTTCCTGACCCTCCCATGCACCCCCTTGCTCCCTCCCCCACCCAGCAGCACCTGGGGCTTGCAACTTCCTGCTGGCTTCCCCACTGACTTGATTGGGGAAAACCAACAGAAAGTTGCCTTGCCTAACGACCCACGACTCTCACTTAACGATGGCAGCCAGGAGTCCTGGGATTGTGGTTGCTAAGCGAAATGTTCGCATGATGTTTCGCTTAATGACCACATTGCTTAGCAACCTAAATTCTGATCCCAATTGTGGTAGTTAAGCAAGGGCTACCTGTAACAAGATCCTGGCAGCAATGGGAGGTGGGGGTGCTTTCACTACCTCAAGTTACTTACTACCTAATTTGCTCCTGTCCTCTAAGCTGTACCCTCAATTTAGCTCCATGTTTCAGAAAACCAAGAAATGCACTGAGCAGATACAACTGAAGAGCATTAGCATAGAAGTTACTGATAAAGACCCCACATCTTCTTTCCTCTCCCTTTGTTGGAGGAAGGAACTCTGTTCACAAGTTACAAAAGAAAAAAATACTCTTTTTTCCTCCTGCTTTCTCTCTTTCAGTCCAGAAACATTGTATTTTATTCTCCATTTCTAAGACATGCCTGTGCAAAAAGTGCTCCCCCTTAAGTGTGCGTGAGAGAGAGAGAGAGAGAGAGAATGCTGTATCCTGCAAGTTTCTTACCTTCTTTGTTATGGCAGGAAGCCTCCAAAATTCTAGTATTTTTTGTTGTGGCAAGAGTTGCTATTCTATTATTCTCTTTCTGCCTTCTCCTATAGCTGAACACTGGGTAATGCAGATAGATTCTTGAAGCCTTCCCCTTTGTCTACCATTCTCTCAACTCCAGCTTCACCTTTTTCTCATTAAATGGAATATGTAATTCTGAATCCCTTGTCTTTCTCTCACTGAATTGAATAATGAGCTAAATTCTCATTCTCACTCTTATTTGCTTTGTCTGCTAGCTTCAAATAACTCATTGTGCTATATTCCCCACAAATTGTCAATTGCTTATTATCTGATTGTCCTTATAACTCTTGTTTTATTTGATAATGTTTATTGATTGATTATTAATTATGATTTAATTTGGGACACTGGAATGAATAAATCTGTTTAATGGCCTATAGTATTAATGTCCTGCCTAAAGAAAAGATGTTTCTGCCAGCTTAGAGCTGGAAATGTTCTGATCACTGGTCTCTTGCCACTCACAGTAAGCTACTCAGGAAAAATCAGGCAATCAACTTGCACTTTTACCAAGAAGCAAGCTACTAAGGGGTAGAAGTAAGGATTAGGAAGAAATAGGAGAAAACAACTGAGAACAGAAAATTTGTATTTACAAGATGAACCAACATGATGTGTTGAGGTTTAGTTGGAAAATACCACAATATTTTGCAAAATAATTACTTACCTGAGACAAAGCTGTTCCAAAGGCACTCGATGTATCTCAGGCAACTGCTGCTTTAAAAGGCGATGTTTATAATGATGGCTACTGAAAAGATGAAAGCAAACCCCAGAAGCTACACGGCCTGCTCGTCCTTTTCTTTGCAAGGCATTGGCTTTAGACACATATGAATCCTCCAGGCTTTCCATGCCCTTGCTTGTATCATATCTATCAGAATGAAAATACAGAACTGTGTTTGCAGTATTACAGTAGATGATAGGTCATGAGTTAGGAAGTATAACATTGAGTGTGGTGCTTCTAGGTAATTGTTTAAATTTTCTGCTAAACTATGGTTTTATTTATAGTTTGTGAAATGAGCCACAAAGGTTCACATAACACAATAAGCCAAAGTTGAATTACATTATAGCTTACTACGATATATGAACCAGGCCATTGTTTTACAATCTTTATCCTTATTCACAAACATGCTTTTTAAAAAACAAATCACTGCTTGAAGATTTACAGTCTAAAGTTGATCAACGCTAGCAAAAAACATAGCATCCTTATAAAACATTACAAACCATCAATTAAAATGTTACAAGTTTCTCTTTTAAAATGTTCACAAGAAAAAACAGGAAAAAGTATGTCAAGAAAAGAAAATCAAGTGAAATGTGAATGTAACAGATACTGCAGAATTACCTTGACTTTTGCAATCTAAATCCTGTTTCCCAAAACTAGAATATGAATACAGGTAGTCCTCGCTTACCTACTGCCTCGTTTAGTGACTGTTCAAAGTTATGACAATGTAAAAAAAAAAAAGAAAAACAGCTTTGCGACCAGTCCTCACATTTAAGACCTTTGTAGCATCCCACAGTCAAGTGATCGCCATTCAGGCGCTTTGCAACTAGTGCACATTTACAACTATCACAGCATTATGTGGTCACGTGATCGCAATTTGCATGCTTCCCACCCGGTTTGTGACAGAGTTAATGGAGAACGCGGAAGTAAAATCATAAGCTACAGTCACATGATGTTTCACTTAACAGCCACAGTGACTTGCTTAATGATCATACGGGAAGTGATGTAAGTCCGTCACGGTCATGTGATTATCCACTTAGTGACTGCGGCACTTAGTGATGGAGCTGCCGGTCCCAATTGTGGTTGTTAAGTGAGGACTACCTGTACTGCATGAACAGGTCATTTCTGCGTGGTTTATCGTCCTGGGTTCTTATCCAGTTCCTCCCCCAGATTCTCTAAATACCTTTTTTCTTTCATCTTTCCTGAGTCAATCACATAGACCACATCATTAACAGTCAGGGACGTTTCTGCAATGTTTGTGGATATGATTATCTTGGTGATGCCAGGAGGAGGCTGGAGGAATACAGACTGCTGCTCTTCACTGGAAAGGGTTGAATGGAGAGGATACAGAATGCAGCTAGGAGAAAAGATTAGAGAACAGGTGCGGAGGATTTTTTTGTGAACATTTGTTTCATCTGCATATTACTTTTTTCACATAACCAAAATTGGGAAATTCCCATTCTTCTTTGGAATACACCTCTGATTTTTTATGCTAAATGAGCCACATCAGTGATTGATACAATTGCCCATATATTGATAGGATGCTTGTATTACATATACTCTTCAATACCATCAATACAGTATTTTGGAAATGGCACCTCCAGCAACAATGTTTAGTATGCTCTTGGGGAAAGTTCAACCTTCTCTTTCAGAAACAAGATGGAGAAACATATATGTTATATAGCTGCATGCACAGAGAGATTGAACCCTCTAAGTTTAACCAAAGAAACATGAAAGGTAGCACTGTACATACATCAACTTCGCCAGTTTGGTGCCCTCTTGATATTTTCAGCTAAGTTTCCCCAGCCCTGGTCACTGACCATGATGGCTGGGCCTGATGGAAATTGAAATCCAGAACAGAGAACAGCTATCTCAAAGGGATTATCACTAGTAAGAATGATGAGCCCCTTTTGTGAGAGACGACTGTTTTGTGGTGGTTCTCCTCTTCCCTTCAAGGCCAATTCCAGTTGATGCTAAGGCTAAGTTGGTAGCTGATGGAGAGGTCTAGCCCTAGCCTCTGCTTTACAAGATATTGCAGGGTTCTATTCTCTCCTCACTCCTTTTCAATATCTACAAGAAGCTGCTGGGTGAAATCAGCCAGTGACACAGGGAGAAGTATCATCAGTATGCTAATGATACTCAGTTGTACATCTCTGCCTGGGCCAACCAGGTGATGCTGCTCAGATTCTTACCCAGTGTCTGAAGGTTGTGATGATCTGAATGGGAAAGAACACGTTGCGGCTTAACCCTGACACAACAAAATGGGTATGGGTCCTGAAGCCTCCCAGATCCAGAAATTTTCCATCTTCATCTCTAAATTAGATAGCACTCCCCCAGGCAGAGTTGGTGTACAATTTGGGAGTCCTCACAGCTCCTGCTTGAGGAGGTGGCAGCCATGGCTATGAAAACCTTTGCACAAATTCATCTTGTGTACCCACTGTGCACATTCCTGGATCAGGAGACCTTACTCACAGTCACTCATGCCTTTGTCACCTCCTGTTTGGATTATTGTACTCTGTTCTACATGCCCTTGAAGTGTATTCAGAAGCTGCAGAATGCAGTGGTGCAGGTGTTTTGGCCTCTCCACTGTACACCCATGTAATAGTTCTGCTCCATGAACTGCACTGGATCCCAGTGCTGTTTTGGGTATAATTCAAGGTGCTGACTATCACCTATAAGTCCTACACAGCATAGGGACAGGTTATTTGTAGGACCACCTGTCTTCAATTGCTTCTGCTCATCCCACCAGAACTGACAGAGTGGGCATGTTCCAGGTCGCTGCCTTGAAGCAATGTAATCTATTGGGATTCAGGAGATCTGCCTTCTCTTTGCAGCACCTACCCAGGTATGATTTTAACATGGTTAAAGTACTAAGGAATAAACTAATATACATTTATCAAGCTATTGGTTCAATAACCAAATTCCAATCATTTTGCAGCACAATTCTGAAGCCATTACTGTATCAGTGTCATCTTCAAAAGTTCTACTTAGAAGCATGGAATATTACTGTACAAGCATTCACTAACAGTGGCTATATTCCAGGGCAGAAGAATAATGGTGTCTGGAGAAGAAAAGTTATCTGATGTTTGAATAAAATGCCTAAATTCACTGAAGAGACTAAAATATCCGTTTCTCTTTTTTTCCTTTTAAAAAGTGAATTAAAAAAGGCATGACGTACCGTTTGCTGTGTCGGTTGTTGAACAAGGCATTAAACTGCAACTGCTTATATAATGCTTGAATTTCTGCTAGGCCTGGCAAAAATATCAGCACTGCACCTAAACATGGGTTAGTAAAATAGTAAAATGAGTAGAAAAATCTCTTAAAAATCAGGAGCTATTTTGTTTCCTTCACTGCCATATTTATATATAGTAAGTACCCATTTTTTTTTCTCAGATTCCTCTCTGCTGCTTCATATTTTACATTTTCCCAATGCAGAAAGTACTTCCATGTTGGAAACCCCCCCCACAACCAATGCCTTATATTATTATTGGGGGTAATAGGTGGGGTGGTCAATGATGTCAAAATGGAGGGCATGTTGGGGTGATCAAAGCTGTGCGCCTTTTGAATGTGTATCACATGCACATGTCATTCACTGCCCCTGCAGATATCCATAATGTATGTTGCTTCATGCACATAAATGTTGCTTTCCTATATGAAATGTTGTCTCTAAAACTTTTAAAAATGTTTCAAAATAATTTTTAAAGTGTCTATTAAAAACAAAATTATTCTGGAGAGAATTTGAAGTACTGCAATCTACTTTATGGGTTCTGTTCTTGTTTATATGTTAAGTGCTGACTATCTACCTTCGTTTTGTTTTATCTGTGTATTACAGGTGTTTTGTTACTTGTATTACCATTGTTATTTATTGTATCAGGGACATTGTATTATATTGTTTATAAACATATTAAAAGCCAGTGGCAGATGGCATTAAACAAGTAATTAAACAAGCAAGCTTGGCCCTGAAAAAACATTTAGCGTGATCAAGGAGTCCTTGATTTGGATCTGCAGAGAGCACTTAAGGCCTCAAGCTATTATATATAATGGAGGCCAGTCCCATAGACTCTTTACACCTAAACACCTCTTTTGTACTCTTTTTGTTATTTACAGGAGACCTTTTAACTTAGCAAGGTTTAAGGTCTTATGGTCTAGGGTGCTAGAAGGAAGTTACACTAATATTCTTTTCAGAACATTTATTTTCACTTGGGTGATGCTATAGTTATTCATGTATTGTACTGTCATGGGCTCCAAGCTAATAAGTGCCCCATCTCACTTATTGCTTGAGTTGTCCTACAGAGTGCATATATTCTATTAACGGATTGGTGCACCAATAATTCCATGAAGATATCTAAACTTTATTCAGTTATAATCACCATTAGGAAGCTGATAGTTTTCCTGCACATTTTCTGCACACTGCAGGGGGTTGGAATAGATGGCTTTTGTGGCCCTTTCCAAGATTACAATTCTATGATTCTAAACTTTGAATTGGAACTTGGCCTAAAGGTCTTGTTCATGAGTTTTCCTCTATTACTACTCTTTATTCTATATTATTTCATTACTGTAGTTTACTTCCCCCCTTTTTTGTCTTTGACCATAAAGCAAACATAATATTTATATTCATCATCATCATCATCATCACCATCATCATCATTATATTTTTAAAATGTTGTGACATCCCCACACACAAACACTTTAAGTTGGTCATGGCCCCCCAGGGGCCACAATCCACCGTTTGAGAAGCCCAGTTTTAACATTTTGCATGAACCCAATCTCTGGCAATGATAAGGAAGCCTTATTTAAATTCAGACAACCCTCCAGATAATGTTTTAATTCATTGCAAAGACATTGTGTTTTTACAATTCCTCTCTTCCAGTTCCTTATTCTCTTGTGTACAACCTTTAATACCTTATTTAAACAAACCACAATTATTTAAAAGGTTTTTATTAGCACTTTTTATGAAGGAAAAATGAAAAAAAAAGTTACTGGAGGAACAAAAAAAATAATTAAGCTGTGTATGAGAAAGAAGAGGGGAGGAGGGAGGAGCAGGTAAAAATAGTTTTGTTTCTTTAAATTATTGCCTGAATGCAACCCCTCTCTAAAAATGTAGTTGCTCATCACAACAGGAAGACTGTCCTATTTCTATTAAATTTAAAATGCTGGAACTTAGAAGAGGCTGAACTCATGAACGAATATAAAAAATATTCAAATTAAAAAAATAATGCTGATAGTTGTAACGTATTTTTATTATTTGCACGTGTCTTGGAATATCACACTTTAAAACCTTATGTCAAGAAGCTAGTTACCATTAAAAAAAACGGAAATGAGCAGAACTTCAAAAGATTACAGTATGACTGAAACAGAGTTTATGGTACAATCAATTCAGTTTAATCAACTTGTAAAACAAATCTCAGTTGTTGATCTGTTTTTAAGTTACCTGGTGGATACGAATGTTTGCCACTGACAATCCATTCAAGTAAGGCTTCAATTAATTCAAGATTTACTTTGTCTAAATCCATGCTTGCCATTGTTTTTAATACTGATTTGCTAACCCCTGGGGGGAAAAATATGCATAAGCACAGGAAGAAATAGTCACAACAGGTAAATGTTGTAAAGTTAATTTAATTAGTAAAACTACAAACCACCAGATATATCACACTTGATAGGAAGAGAAAGCCAGCTGCAATGTTTTTCAATAGATGTTATGTTTCCAATATAATAAAAGTTTCTTTCAAGCCACCTTGACACCTTTAAAGTGTTACATCCATTTTCAACCTTTCAGAGATAAAACTTTGTCTTTCACACACCCTTTACCTTATCCTGAAATCTCACATGACAAACATTTCAGTTAAGGTACTAGGATACAAATCATGGCAAATAAAATAAATAGAATCTTGAATTTCCACTTGGACATACCTTTATTGCTAATAGTTAACCTGAATTACACTGTTGACCTAATATACAGAGCTCTACTATCCCTTACACCAGATTGCTTGTTCACTTACCTATTTCTCCTAAGTACATATTTCAGTCAGTACCATGTCCTCTCTATCCACTGTGTGACTGCGCATTTACTGAATTTAAAAGTTTGATGTTGCTTCCTACCCAGAGAGTATTGAAAAATAAGTTAAGATGGACACATTTGACAGCTGTTCACCACCATCCCATATACCGAGGGAAATCATTTTAACTATAATTCAGTATTTTCAAGTTGCATAGTTGGAATTCACATGCCAATTCTTTATTTTGTGAAAGACAGTGTCCAGGATTTGGAATCTCTCTCTTGAAAAATTCCAAAGAGGACGGGAAACCTTGACACAAAGAGGTCTTAGTACAGATAGGTATGCAAGAGGCTTTTTCATAGCCTTACAATTTTTGAATACAACTTTCAGGCAATAAACAGAAAATGGATTACTCTGTATTAGAAATACAGAAGAAATTCTTGGAAACTAATCGGTACAGCAGGTTCATCAGAGAGACTACCTTTGTAACGTATCAACAATTGTTGGAAAGTCAGCTGTTGGTCTGGGACTGAATCCAGGACTGTTGCTTCCGTCAAGCCAGCTTTCTTTAGATCCTCTTCCACTTCTTCTGCAGCGGTCCTTGTCCTGCGGGTAGTTTGTTTTACTCTGCGCATGTATGGACTGCTGTGCTCCAAAACATACCTGAATGCATGCAGAGAGATAAGTCATGGGAAAAAAGCAAGCAGCTATCCTTGCTTTTCAAGCAGTTAATAGTTCTACCCAGAAACTTATACTTTCTGAATGGTGCTGTATAATTACAGATAAACTAGACTATTGGGCACTGGGCACTTTTGGGTACGGCTGTGTATATATTTTGCAATCCTATTGCACAAACATCAGCATTTAGAATTTGATAAAGAACATTGTATCTTAAGAATTGGCTTTTTAAAAACAAAATTTTAGCATCTATAAGGAAAGCATTTAGGAAATAAATGGATAGTTCAAAAAGAATTTCATTGCACTGGATTAAGCTTCCCAGAGTTACTTGAGGCCTTTCAGTGCCTTGGCTCTCTGCCACATTTGTTTCTTGCCCACATGATCTCTCTGAGCTTGGCTCAAGACCAGGCTGGGCAGTGAGTCTAACAGAATACACGAGGCCTTTACCCTATCCCAAAGATGGAATTCAAGGAGATCCATTCTGTGTGCAATCAAAGATGTAAAAGGTCTGGAAATGTTGTGATGATGGGGAAATTTGGCAAAGAAAATAACATAGTTTCAAGAAAAACTGAAATAAATGCAGTACTTATCATCTTTTCTAGTTACAAGATTGCTGTGTTACCTTATCAGGTACATTATGTATAACTTGACTTATTCATTACATCTGGCATATATTTTATTTATATTATACAGAGCCAGGAATGAAATTAATTCCTGAAGACTGACACCAATTTATATAACTTCAGTAAAAAATATCAATATTTTTAAAAGGTCTTCCCTTTCATCTACCCATCTGTATCCTTTAATTTTCTTTCTGATCATCAGTGCAAAGAAATTATATGGCAATCCTACATCTAGTCACTCAGAAGTGTAGAATGAATGAATGAATGAATGAATGAATGAATGAATGAATGAATGAATGAATGAATCTCTCTCTCTCTCTCTCTCTCTCTCACCTCTACCCCACTGCAGCCAAAACAACTCTTGGCATCTTACAGTATATATAAACAAGGATTAGGACATCCATGGTTAAATTAAAACCAATCCAAATCATAACAACAATAACAATGCCCACATCAACCCCCACATAAAAACATAAAGACACAAACACCATCTCGCTTCAGGCCTCACTTTCACTCTAGTTGTTCTAAAGTTGTTCTGTTGAGTTAAATGCTGCTAAGTGCAGTTCTCTGTAAGAACTGCAGCCTCATAGTACAATCCAAGACATACCTGTTAAAAAAAAGTGTACTATTCTACTCAGTAGGACTTATTCACAGTGTCAATACAACATAAAGCTTGCTCCTTCCTCCTTGCTCATCAGCAGTACAACCACTGATCTAAACTGATGTAAGCCATGCTCAGTCACAGTGCTATCCACTCTGCCAAATACAGTCTTCATTTCATTTTAGATATGGTTGGCAAGAATAGATTTAAGAGATATTTGCAAGCATCAGGCTAGAAAGAACATGAACTTCTGTCACTATTGCTACCTGTTATTAACAGTCTGGATATCTCATTTGGAAAATAATAATTCCTCCATTAAAGTAGGTCAAAAATTAAGTTGTAATGGACGAAAGGCCATTCAGTGCTTATCCCCATCTTCTGTATCACCAATAAAAGGTTAAAAACACTAAAAGGAAGAGATAGGCTTCTTTTTCACAAAATGATTATACAGGATAATATCTGTACATTTTTGTCATATATTCCAATTTCTGCAATAACTAGATACTTGTTCTTTTTTACTGGATCCTGGGAAAATGGGCTAATAAATAGACTTTCTAAGCAAGTGGGCAGGAGGTTACAGCCCTTTCAACCCAGTGATTAATCTGGGAGTGTAGTCCACTCCAGTCTCCCTGGTTTTCTCTTACTCAATGTGCACTTTTTGCTCTAATGCACATTAATGCTCATGTTCCAAAACAAGTGAAAGCACACAGTGCCTTTCCTCAACATAAACCTACTGTACTATGCTTTCCCTAGTAGTCAGTTCTTAATCATATAAAGTATATGAGTCTGACAGATTCTTGAAATGTACTAGATTTTAGTAATACTCTGTATTATTGTTTCTGATACAACTCTAATTTTAAATCTTATTTGATATAGTGCAGTAGTGCTGTCTACATTATTAGCTGAGGTTAAACTGTATTATTCACAATTTGTCCCATAATTCCATCCAAAGGATGAGTCCAAGAAACAGTATTTTCAGTCTGAATGGAAACTTATATTATGTAAAAGGATTGCTAGATGCTATATTTGTTTTTGAGATTTCTTACCTAGTCACTGCAATTGCATCTTCTAGAAAAAACTGTTCAACAGGGAATGTCCTTCCTAGAGATGTACACAATAATAAATAGATAGGCAAACAGTTTCATCAAAACAGAGCAAAACAGAAAAACATGTGCAAAACAGAGCAAAGAAATGGAAGCTTTATTCCAACAAGTTTGGAGCATAGGGTATGTAGTCATGGCCTGAACTTTACTGCAATATGGGGGACAAATAAAAATCTTTTTTAAAAAGTATTATTTTAGAACATTTAAGGAATAAACTGCTACATAAAAGAAAAAAGAAGAAAGTGAAAAAGGACATTGTATATGGAAAATAAAATATTAATAAATAAACAGAGAATGTACAATGTCATAAAATTTATTTCATTGATTAAATAATTAATTGAATATAATTGAATGTATAGAACTAGACTCATTATAACATCTTGAGAAATAATTGAAAATCACTACAAAACTCTAAACATTAATATTTACATTGATGTCACCACTATTTTTCATTATATAAAATAAATGCACATGATCTTATATGAAAAAATAAAAAATAAAAATAAATACTAAAAAACAATCAGTAAAAACTATATTAAGTTCTAGATTCCTTTCCATTATATCTGACTGGCAATTATATCAATTATTTATAAACATTAAAATTGCTTCTGGTCACTATCTTTACATCAAAGATTTCCTCCTTAAAAATTGAGGATGAATTTGCTAAGAATATGAGTTTGCTTTGTTGTGTGACATTCTTGCTTAAATTTAGTCGAACTTCTTTTTCTGGGATTGGTGCCATTTGAAATTAAAAGGAAAAAAATCTTATATAATATATTCAGCTGATCCTAACCAGGAGAATTTTAAATTTTTCAATCTTTCTAAATCTTTTGAAACTTTTTTTTCCATAACTGAAATACATCTTTATTACTGCCTGTCAAATACAGTCCCAAATATTTCACTGTGTCTTTTGTTGACTGGCAACCCAACTCCTTCTGCACAGAACTTTCTTCTTGGGATAAGTATCCCATTATTATCTTTATTTTTTGTAGGGTTAGTTTGATATCCTGAGAATTCAACAAACCCTTTGTTTTCATCAGCTATCTTATTGCACTTCGAGGTTGCATAATGGTTAATACTGCATTATCCAAATACCTTTGACTGACCTTACTAATTGGTGCTAAGATTACATCTAATGCATATGAACAAAAGCATACATTTGAAAATATTTATACAAGTATTAAATATTATCCTATAATGATCTGTTTGGATATGCTCCTGGTAATTCCTTTTTACCTCAACAGCTATGCCTCTATTAAATGTAGAGTATTTGGGCAGCATGCTTTATTCAATGAAATGCAACTGCTTGGCACAGGGCTTTTATTAAAAGCATCAATATATAAGGCTGCATGGTCTGATTTTTAGTTTTCTCTATCAACATTCTGGGAATGACTTTAGCTGAGATGATTTACAGGATATGACAGACCCAACACTTTTGCAGATGATAGATATCAAAACTGATAGGCAAGAATACAAAATCTATGTGTTCAGTAGTCAGTAACATTTTACAGAATGTTACATTTTACAGAACATTTTGCTTCTGAGTGAATGCAAAGATCTGGAAACAAATTTTTCCATCTTCTGAAGAATTACATCAGTTGCAAAGCTTACTTAGTTTGCCTAATAGTATGTACTGCAAGTAAGTAAGTTGCAGATAACAACAGGCAAGTCTTCTGCAATTATATGCTCTGTAAATGATGCTTCCTAGTATTGTCTAATGCCAAAAAGAATACTGACTGGTTTAGCAGTACTGTTACTATGTGTTTCAAATTCTTAAGGCTGGTATAGCTTCCTCAATTCAAACATTTTACTACCAAAACAGTATGTTGCAAATATATAGAAATCATTACAGTGGAAACATTTGCTGTAAAATCAGCCAAAGGTAAAATAGTGAAGGAATTAATAATAAAAGAATCTGCTTTTCACCTGGTATATTGACGATAGGGCAGGAATTAAAGTACTGAGAAAAGGCTTCTGTATTCAGAGTAGCACTCATTACTATAACACGCAGCTCTGGTCTTTGTAACATTATGTTCTTCAATATCAACAACAAGAAGTCACTGAAAAAAACAATAAAAATGGAAACTCTTTGCATCTTTTCCCACCCTCTTTCAATATTATTATTAATTCAATATTAAAAGTGATTTCTGGGTGTCTACTCTCCATTTAGTTCTTAGTGTTCTAGATCCAAGGCTGTAAACATGTTATATATTATGGCAGAGACTGGAATACAAACAATACACCTCTTCTTTCACTGTTATTTCCGAAGGGGAACACAATAATTCGTCGTCATCACTGAAAAGCAAATTTTAAGTGTATGGAAAAGCAAACACAAATGACACCACATTTGTAACAAGAAGTCACAGTCACCAAATAAATAAAACTTTCAGGAATAACGTTTGCAAGAAACAGTATTATGTGAAACATCAAAATATGATGTCGTTATCATGTCTCTCCATTCTTGTTTTTCCACTTGCTTGCTCTGCTTGTTGAAAAGCAGCTTGTTATAGCAGTCATTAAGAGCAAAGGAGAAAGACAGCTGGCATAGGATTTACTGCCTTCTCTCCTCATGCAAGTGATTTTTTTTTCCAAAGAAGACCCTCACATCTCTGAATAGAATCTTAGTAAAACCTGGAGCTTTATTAGCGTAATGTAGTATACTACTATTCATAGTAATACATTATTAGTATGTAAGAATAAGCTAGTGTGATCTCAAAGCTAAAAGATTGTGGCTACAAAAACCCCAATTTCAAATGCTACTTCTGCCATACACTCACCCTTTTCAGTTCTCTACGCAGCTGGAAGACTGAATAGTAGTTTATTTTCTCTCATTTTCTCCACTGCCTGGTATATGATTACCTAAATGCTAGTCATGATTTGAACCCTGATTAATTGCTAAAGTAGCTAGGAATAATCTGTAGATTGTTTTGTGGACTTGTTCAACAGTGCAGTTTAAAACAGAATGTATATGGGGTATTCTTCCTTCCTGCTGCATAGCACAAGGAGAGGGGAGAAGGAAACATACAAACTTACAACCTTCCTCAGGCTCGCAAATGTCATGCAGGCAACAGGAAACTCTGATTCAGGGTAACATGCAGACCAGATGACTATATTGATAGCAGTTATGATAACTGATGTGATTTAATGATTAGAATGTCAATCTAAGACTTGCAAGATCAAGTATCATGAGGGTTTGGGGTTTACAGGAAATGGTTCAACACCTAGCACACAAAAACCCCTTGGGTTTTTTTTCCTGCTTATCAACAAAGATGGGGAAGTTTCTTAGTTTTGTTTTTAAGTGTACAAAATTAATGATGCCTTTTTCAGCCACTCTAGATAAACATTAGTTCACCATAAAAATCACTATAAAAGTGATTTTATAAGAGCTTATTGTCTGACAATTAGGGTTAGGGTTATTTAGGGTTAAGGTTATCTGTCTCTTATTTTAAAAGAGCTTATTATTTTGTCTCTTATTTTAAAAGAGTTTCTTGTCTGACAATTCACATCTCAGCTTGACAGACAACACTTAGCTGCTGCAAACTGTGACACCAGGGTTCAAGTCTCAACTCAGCCACGGAACAGTGTGATTTGGAACAACTACATCTCTATCTCATGTGATTTTTGTGAAGAAAAATAGAGGGACTGTGGATATACAAAACTTATTGTTCCAGGAAACAGCTGCTTCCAGTTTGAAGAATTTACTTCCAGAAAAGTGCTGGTCCATCCCTGGATTGGCCAGATTGGCAGAGCAAGAATGGAACATAAAATGAAAAATGGAATGGTAATTCAGGAGAAGCACTTGCATATAACTGGAATACACTTAGAGAAAGGTTATAAAATGCAATAATGAAAAACTGCAATTTTTTAAAAGGTTGATTACCTTTCTTCTCTTCTCTCATGTATTTCATCAATAATAACATGAGTGACTCCTTGTAAATTCATATCCCCTTCTAGTCTTCTCAGAAGCACTCCAGTAGTACAATACAATAGCCGTGTAGATGAAGACTTGAATAAAAAAGACAAAACATTAAAATGGCCAAGAAAATCATTTTTTTGGTCAGATTATTTAGTTTTCCATGGATCACAGATAAAGTGGGAGTCAAGAGTTGGAATGTACCCTGGAGGTCATCTAGTCCATCCCTCTGCTCAGTTCAAGAACCACTAGAATGCATCTGACTGATTGTCATCTGGCCTGTCTGACAACCTCTAGCAAAGGAGAACTCACTACTTTGGGTGGCAGCCTGTTTCACCAGCTGACAGCCTGGGCAGTCAGGAAGGTCCTCCTTCTTTCTAGTTTAACTCACTGGGTCTGATCCTGACCTCAAGAGCATTACAGAATTGGTTCATTCTCTCTTCTGTGAGATGTCCTTTCAAATATTTAATGACTGTTATCATCTCTCCCCTCAGTTGTCTTTTCTGGAGGCTAAACTTACCTTTAGCTCATAGGGGTTGGTTTCCAGACCCTTCACCATCTTGGTAGCCCTCCCTGAATTTGTTCCATTTTCCCATTGCCCTTTTGAACTATGGTACCCACAACTAACATACTAAATGATGAACCAGAGCACAGCTGAGTGGAACATTTATGATCTGGACTCTACATTAATACACCTCAAGATAGCATTTACTTTTTGAGCAGTGGTACCACAATGCTGGCTCATGTTTACTTTATAGTAAAAAAGGATATTCAAATCCCTTTCACATGTGGTACCATCCAACTAGGTCTCTCCATGCTATACCTGTGGTTTACATTTTTCCTACTCAGATGTAGAACTTTACATTTCTCCCTATTAAATTCTATCCTATTCATTTCAGCCCACTACACAGCTTGTTATTGCTCATGATTAATCAGGCAAAAGACCTTGACCTTTCTGTATTGTAAATTAGACTTTGGCTGGTAAAGGATGCTGAATGCCAAAGGCCAACATAGTTATAATATCACACTTCCTAGGAACAGGGAATAGAATCATTTTTCCATTTTCTCCTGTCTTCTATCCAAAGGCAGTTCACAAGCAATAAAACTATCTAATTACAATGATCAACAGAACACTAAGAACTCCAATCAAACACCATCAGTAGTTCAGGCTAACAGAAGAATTTGTAACTGGTGCTTAATCAGAAGCATAGTGTGACTAGACTGATGTACTATTTAAACTGGGACAGTGGGAGGGAAGGTGTATTTATTCAGACCTCCTGAGATTGCCTGAAACCTTTAGATCTATGTAAGCGCAACAATTTCTCACTCAACAGTGCTCTTAAAGTCCTGCTTTCCTAAAACAGTCACTTTGAGGTCTGCTGTGGTTCCATCAAAAGGTTTCAAGCAATCTCAGAAAGTCTCAACAAACACAACAATCCCATCGTCTCACCCCAACTTAAATCCTACATCAGTCTAGCCACGCTAGGGATCTCTTGAGGTGACCTTCAGCTTACCGGTGACCAATTTTCCCTGAGCTCAAAATAAAAGCTAACCC